TCCAGTGTTGGGGCGTGTGCACTGATGAAGAAGGCATGATCTGAGTGATTCAGTGGGACTCGGAGCGTCATGAGGCGCTCGTTGATCGTAGCAGGCATTTCAGTTAACCTATTTAGGATGCATTGGCGGATGGCAAAGCCAACTCTATAAGTGCGGTTTCTCTCCGCAGCAGGTTTACCCTTCCAGAAGAAGGTATTGGGAGAACCCCGTTCTGTGAGTTGACCCTGGTGTGGGAGCTGGGACTCACTAATGGCTGCTATGTCAATGTTATACCTAGCTAGCTCTTTTGCCACAAGGGTGGTTCTTCTTTCAGGGCACTCAATTGTGCCAGTAGCCAGAAGGGTCCTGACATTCCATGCAGCAACCATAAGAGGTTATATAGTTTTTGTTTTGTTTTTATCTTTGATTATAATTGTGTTTTCGACCGCATAAGGATGACCTTACTGGGTGCGGTTGCCCAGTCAGGTAGGTGCTTTAGGCAGATTATGTTTGGAGCATATTTTCTAGTTCCCTTCCATGTGAGGTGAGCAGACTGGCTCCTTGAAAGGGCTGCTCGGTCGCAGAGACAGGACCAGATTACACTGCTGCCTAGATCCCAGTGTATAAACGACCATCTTATCTGTACTACCCATGTGCAGAGTTATGACTAGACAGACACACACACACACACAAAAAAACACACACACATGCATGGATACACACACACACACACACACAAAGCAAAACAGAGCAAAACAAAAGTTCAGACATTGTACAGCTCTAAAGTAGCTCACTAATACACATACATCTATCAAACTCACCTAAACATGATGTTGTGGAGGCATTGGTGTTTCCATGAAATCTGTTGCCAAACAAAAAGCCTACCTAACTAATGATAAATAGTACACAACTATATGTAGTCCCTGGTTTACAAACTTCTGACTTACCAACATCCGCCGAGACCAACAAGGTTAAACTTTAAACTTTCAGTATTCTAAACACTTGATGACTTATTTGTTACTTTCATTTAATGTATATTGTCATTCTATTTTTCTTTTCTCTTAAATTAAGTGATTTTAGATGTATATAAGGACTTAGGCTTTGTTATAAAGTAGTGGGATTTTAAACATTGTTCTGTAAGCACTGTATGCACATAGCATATTTTTCGACTTACAGGTAGTTCTGCTATAACGCGATAATTGTGTTCTTGTAAAATATCGTGTTATAGAAAATCGCGTAATAGAAATAACAGGGCTTATGGAGAAAATAGGGTTAGGTGCAGATTACTCGAAATCAAAAAAATTTAGTAGTTAGCCTAACACAAAGGATAGCACAGTCTAAATACATGTTACATTCATATCTAATAATGAAATCATACAGTAAATGTAACACTTTACTTGATGGGGGAGAAGGGTGATTTTGAGGTTGATAAAATCGAGCTTCTCTTCAAGTGTTATATCCTTTCTTTTACGATCATCATCAGGAATTCTATCACCAGAACGCTTCTTGTTGATATTCTTCTTTACTATATTCACAGTTAATACAGTGGGGTATGCTATAACGAACGGATTCTACTACGAATATTCCTATAACGAACGGTTTTACCTATAAAATTGAGAATGCTATAACGAACGAAACTCCTACAACGAACATTATTTAATTTTTTTTTTTCTAATTTATTGTTTTTTTATTACAAATATTAATGATATTCTTTATTTCAGGGGTTTAGATGCATCTTTATGCACTTTTTTACAATTTTTACAATTTTATATTATATTTTTCAGTGTTAAGTGGTTGTATTTGGGGGCCTGGAACGGATTAATCCTATAACGAACGAATGCTATAACGAACAAGGTTCTAGAACCAATTAGATTCGTTATAGCATACCCCACTGTACCACAAAATTGGAGAAATAGTAAGCAAAAATCGCGTTATAGCAAACAAGCGTTCGCGTTATACAAATATCGTACCTAATTCATAAATCGCGTAAGAGCAAATTCGCGTTATCAAAACACGCATTATAGCAGAAATCACTGTATGTACTTTTCGACTTAAGGTTGTTCCCAGGAACAGAACTCATTCATAACCCGGGGACTACCTGTATTGTACTGTAATTTACTTCCTAACACATTAAAAACATTAGTGACATTCCCCCTCCTGACCCTAAGCAACGGTCCCCATCCCACTCTCTATACAAAGAAATGTTTATTCTCTTTATGTTTTTGACCTCATGATAGTTATTTCTTTTCCTTTTTTTTTTTTTTTTTTTCACACTGTATGGAGGATTGTGTTCCACGGGGCTCTGTTATTTTGCCTACTCTTCCTTCTTTTTGTGAATGATTTACTTCACACTACGACTAATTCTATCCATTCATACGCTGATGATTCTACTCTTCACTCTTCACATTTTTCCCTTCCCCCTAATTCTCAAACTAGATCTGTTTTTGGAGCTGATATCATATCATCTATCAATGCAGATCTGTGCAGCAGCTCCAAATGGGGAGGTAGAAACTTGGTTGAATTCAATATTAATAAAGCACAGCACTATTTACCAATTACACTTTCCAAAATAGAGGATCTCCCACCAATCACATTTCAGGATGCAATCATTCTGCCAAATTCTAAAATAGATATGCTAGGCCTCATCATTTCCTCTAATATGTCATGGAAGCCACACATCCACAACATTGCTAAAGCTGCATCCTGAAAGCTGGGAATGCTGTACAGATGCCGTAGCTACTTCATTCCTGAGCAGTTGCTTAAAGTTTATAGGGATTCATTCGTTCTAACTTTGAGTACTATTCTCATATCTGTGGTGGCTCTCCTTCTGTCCAACTGTTAGATAGGGTGGAATCAAATGCATTTTGTCTTATTAACTCTCCTCCTTTAGTTGATAATCTCTCTTCCCTATCTCTTTGCCGCAATGCTGCTTCCCTCTCTCTCTTTTGCAGGTACTTTAACGGGCAGTGTTCAGTGAATTTGGCATCCTGTGTACCGCCGGCAAGGCCATGGGCTCGTAACACTCGTCTTGCCCACGGTGCCCACTGTTTCTGTGTGGATGTCGGTCACACTAGAATAACCATTATGGTACATCCTTCTTTCCTCACACAGCCAAACTGTAGAATGCTCTGCCTTCTTCTGTGTTTCCATACTCTTACAATCTGGTTTTCCGGCATCTTCGTGGTGTAGATTAATTAGTCTTTTTCTCTTCTATTTGTAATTTCTTTTGACTCCTATTTTTTTGCCCCCCAGGCCCCGTTGTGGGTCGATGACCTGTGCCTGGGTGGGCTATTTCCCGTAAAAAAAAAAAAAAATGTAACTGAGTAAAAAAAAAAACTGATGAAAGTTACGTTTATTCACCTGAAATTAAGAGTTGAAAAATAAACATAACATAACTCGTCCTGCTAAATCTTGCTGGTGCACAAAGAAATGTTTATTGTTATTCCCTAAAGATATTTATTTTTATTTATTTTTTTGCACATTCTGTATGTAGGATTGTGTGTGCATGTAACTAAATAAAAAAATGAAGAAATTATCCTAAATACAGCTCTAATCATATCAGCATTCCTCTTGATTGACTCGTTCACGAAGAAACCATTCCGACTGAGGTGGCGGACTGGCCTCTCTCTAGTCATTGTAGAAAGTTTAACTTAATTTTCAGGGTATATATAGTCCTATTATTCTTTGTTGGAGTGTCCTTAGGCAGAGGTGGACTAAGAGAACATTTAGGTGGGGCCATGATGACGAAAGTAGACAAAGAAAATTAAGTTAATCCACGCTAAGGTTTTGGTTGTGGCTGGACCGAGCATTAGATAAACTTTGGGCCCACGTGGTGCATGGGGATGCTATCCTTGGACTGTAATTGACTAGACAGTCAGCTGGCTTAGCGGGCAAAACATTTTCTAACTGACCGTGTTCAGCCGAGTTTTCCCGTGTGAATATTGGCCCTGTGTTAAGTGATACTGGGTAGTAAATAAAATACCATGTTCGAATGAATCTGCATTCAACGAACCATTGTTAAACAAGGGGGCGGTATATAGGGAAATAACAGGCATGGTCTATCAGAGATACGAGATTCATGAAGAAGGCACATGCAGTTGACAAACAACGACTTAACAACATGGCGGCACATGCCAAGAGGAGAGAGACATGATTCTGATATTTGTATTGAGAGAGTGACTTAGTGGCAGTATTATAACAATAATATTTCACACACTTAAACGAAAAGCTAGATGAAGCGACATAGTGTCTAGAGTCAGTGAAACAGTGTTTGAACTCATGCATGGTTGCTTATGCCCTAAAGTACAGTACATCCACTACGTACACTGATGCCCAGACTATAACCCCTGCCTTGACCCCAGGAGTTGCGTCCTAGCAACCAATCCTATGCTAAACTAATGCATAGCACCTGTTAGCTGTCAAACACCTCTGTAGCCTGTGGGTGAAGCTCCAAACTGCCATAGCCCCTTTGCCATACCACTCCTCCCTCCCTGGAACAATGGCACATCATTAGGAGTCAACTTAAGTGTGAGCATGCCTTACTGGCAGTGCATATGGTGTTAATATCAACATTGTCCAAGCTGTAGCATTATAAAGGGCCCAGCTGCAGCATTGACCCAAAATATCCTTGTTTCAGGAGGTTAGGAAAATAAGAGCACTCAGAATTAGGAGACACAATAAGAGAAAACCCCATATATAAGATATAGCAAAGTGACTGATTTATCATATTGTAACCATCTATCCTGCGATGTTCAACATGAAGTATATGTGCCTCCCAACTTAGAATGTACAAATGCAATTCATAACAATAGGTAAAGATATAGCTGTTTGATATAAATTACTGCAGATAATACACATTTTTTACTGAGATACAAACCACAATTTTCTATGATACTGTATAAAATTTATCATTTGTTTTCATAATGCATATGCATTATCTACAATCTAAATTGTATATCACTTGTAAGATCCGTATTTAATTTTCTTTACACTAGAACTCCTTTTCCTGTTATTCCTACCAGACGAACACACCACAAGTTTCCTCCAATGTCATCTTATCAGCGAATGCTTGTTCATCGGTGCGCTGCATTCTTTGGTCTGGAGCACAATGTTGACCAAGCTGGAACTGCCGTCATTGTAAATAAAACCCGGAATACTCGCCTTCCTGAGACGCGTTTCCGCGATCACTGCCGCGATGACCTTCTGGTGCCGGATGAGCCGAAGAGGTCTATCCTTAAGAGGGACTCATCATCTTTTGACGATGGCTCAAATTACAAGGTTAGTTGTTTTTGGTGACGGGTACAGTACGTACTTGACACCACAATTAGAATTGGACAATCCAAATGACTGGCAAAAATTTTTATAATTGTTTCTTGGATTTATTATGCAGTTACCCCTTCCATCCTATTGCAGATCGCTTTCGTTTATCTTTAAATTGGTTATTGTTTTTATGTTTGTTATTTAAAGTGTATGGTGTTTGCTCAGGTAAAGATAGTGAGCTGTGAAGTAAGTATATACTGTATATGGAATTTTATACTTTGACATTAAAGAATAGTGATAGTACAGTAAAACACTACAAGAACATCAAATGAACACTGATCACCTCGTGAATCTCAAGTAATGGAAACTCAATTTAATTTTAACAGTGTCTCAGATGTGAAACAGTATGATGATTGGTTTGATTTTTTTTTTATTATTCATAACCAAGTGTGAGAGATTGCTAGTGGTGACATTAAGGTTCATTCATATGAGAAGTACCTTGTAATAATGACAACCTATATACGTGCTGTGTACAATATTCATAAAGAAAATTGTTTATCAGTCAGTGGATTATAAACTTGTAAATGAACCTTAATAAAAATAAGATGTATGAGTTGCTGACATAATTAGAGTGTGGCTACTAGGTAAACACAATAAAGTATCTGACATCTGAGAATCTGCTTTATGAAATACCTGTACAGTAGACTATTTTACAAAAGATTTTAATTATGAAATTCAAAAATATAAAATAATTTCCTTTCATTTAATTTTCCACATACAGTATTACATAAGTGAAGAGAAATTGGACACATAGACAATTGGTCAGTGAGTGTGCATGGTGAGATGAGTGACGAGTTTACTTGTCTTCAAGTGAGTTTGAGGAGTAAGTTAGCTGGTGATTGGAGGAGATTGAAGTCACATTAAAAGTTTATTTGTAGACTTAATAACATTATGGATGTAATGGAATAATGAAATAAGTTTGTGTTCAAGTATTAGCAGAAAAAAATAACATAATCAAATTGACACAAGTACTATGGTTTATCCCATGTTTTCCTTAGACATTTGTTCATGAAAGTACAGGTATCCACTTGACATAATTATCCATTTTGCAGAAGCCTCTTGATCCCAGAGTTTTTGGTTGACAGATACTTTATTACATAAGTAATGTTATAGTGCATAGCTTGCATTTTGTTTTAAAGTATTTGATGTGTGTTGTGTGAGAATTAGGTTGAAAGGAATGCTGCTGAATGTACTGTAGTTAATAAATAAACCTTCAAAATAAGTGGCAGTTCAGTTCAGTATATATATCATAGTGCACTGATTTTTCATCTGTAAAGGTAGAATTAATATTGAAAGTGAGAAAAGTTAGGAGTGCTTCACTACCGTACTGTGGTAAAGTCAGAGGAAATTCCTCAGTTTGCAAAGCCTCAGACTAGCTATTAACATCATACGTGGGAGGTTGCCACCCCACTCATTGTGAAGATGCATAAAACCTGTTAGGTCTTTTTTTAAGTGTTGCTTAGTTTGTTGCTCATTTATCCAAGGAAACTGTTAGGAATGGCAGTGTGCTATTTAGTGCCAAATTAATGTAAATGAAAAAAAGATACTTGTTGTCCTACTGGAATATGTTATATCTTATATTCAGTTTGATTTATAACTACGGTATAGCTAGTTATAATATTGTGATTGTGATACTTGTTATCTTCCGTGCTACAAAGAAACTATCCTTTAGTATTTTATGTGCCTTTGGATTGTTGTGATTCAGAAAAGCTAGACTGGAAACCGAGGTGTTTATGTGAATTCAGAAAATTTGAAGATATTAATCAACAAATAACATCTAACTGCTGAGTAATGTGTCAGATGTAAGATGTTAAGCTGTAAAGACAACAGGACTTTTGTTAGCATAGATATCACATGTTTAATATGTACTGTTACCTGGTACAAAGATGTTAACAAAGTGAATTACTGTAGTTGACTGTTCAACATTTTTGGTATAGTTTAATCAGTTATATTACTGAAAAAATAAGGTAATTATTTTTAAGAGGACCTCGAATAAGTTTAGTTGTGCATTTCTAATAATCAAAATTGAAATTACTTGTTGTAAAAGTATGTTGTATTATCTGACAGCTTATGAGCATATGTGTAACATATTGTTCATACATTTGTCTTCTTTTATTATTGAAGAAGATGTGTGTGTCTCAACACTCACCCTGATTATCAATTATCTCAGTATCTTTAGTGTTGACTTGGTCTTTCAATTTTCATTCATCTAATGACATCACCAAGACTATCTTTTAGTCATATCATTATTCTGTTTACTTTTTTGTGCTGATTTTGCTTCATTTGTTGTTGTTCTTCTTCTTGTCTAATCACCTTAATGTACCATTGTTCACTTTATGCATCTCATCTCCATCATGGTTGTATCTTCTGAATTTTTTCCCCATCATTCCATATATTTTTTGCAAAATTCACCTTTACATAATTCCATACAGTTTTCCTCAAATCAACCCATTCTATATTCCATAAATTTTGCCTTAAATTCTCCTTTCTATGACACGCCATTTTATTCAGAATTCCCCAATCCTTTTTTTTTTCAAACATCTTTCCTTTCTAGTTTCCTACTCTTAGGTCTCTAAAGCTACCTCAGAATTGCCTTACTCTTTATTCCATATACTGTACTGTACTTTCATCTGAATCCTCCTACTCTAGATTCTGCACATTTTTCTTCTAGCCTCCCTGTACCTACTCTACTCCATAGATTTTTCAAGATTCAGAATTAATAATTTCAAAGATATTGTAAAAAAAAAAAGGTAATGATTCACTCTCTGCCTCTATGTGGTGCATGTGTTTTCCTGAATTCAGAGCAAGTTGGTTGTACTTACAGAATCTTCTAAAAATATTTGAGTTGGCAATCATCTCTTCACTCTCACACATTGAAGACCAGTAACAGTCTTGAAAACTTAATTAAGAATTTATTGTCCAACTGGAATTAATACAAAGTGTATTGGCACAGATATGATAGCCTGTGGCCTCATCTTTAGAATCATAAGACTGCATGTTAGTTTAGGTTGAATTAAGATGTCCAGATGTATGAAAAGAAGGACGGTCCCCTCACCAGAGTTGCTCTCGGGGAAACAATTGAAGAAAAAGAGCACAAAAAATATATTTATATGAAGTTAAAGTAACAAGAAATTATAATTTGCAGACCACTGAGTTTTACTGTAGCTTTAGTTATGTAAACAAAAAAGGAGAGGGGGGGTAGAAGCTATACTCCTGCCCTGGGGCACAGGGTATTTTGATGGGTGACCAAGGCCAACTGGGCTAGGACCTGACTAGGTACTACTTGATAAACTGTTGAGAACATGTTAAATTGGTTCTTTAATACTAAAGATGGCATTTATCTGTATGAGCACTTCTTTGAAAAGCATAAAGAATAAGACTACTATTAATGATGATCAAGAAAATTTCAATTTTTTAGTTCATATCCTGACTGTCTGGTCATAAAATTGCTGGTTTTCAAATAGTATCCTGAAAAAAAAATTGGAGGAGATATATGCTTATCTTATTTCAGTTTGTGTGAGACATCATAACACACCCATGTAGCATATATGCTGGCAGTAGCTTTTGTCCTTTCATGTAAAAAAAAAAAAAAAAAAAAAATGGTATTCATAATAAAGTTAAGATTGTAATATCATTAGTATTAAAGTAGGAGTATTGTTGGCAAGTACAGTATGTCATTCCACATCTTTACTGGTAACCGTGTTATACTTCCTATGTTCAAGGAAAATCACCTTAGTGCAAGAAAACATCAAACCATTTAACTTGAAATATTATAAAAAATATATACTGTACTGTACTGTACTGTACTGTATATACATTTTTGCAATATAATTTTATTGCTGATTCCAGGTAAGGCAACTCATTTATCCCACCAGTCTACAGTGTTAAACCCCAGGTAACACCTATTCAATAATGGCTTGAACTAATCCATCAGTAATTCAAATGACATTCCATTAAATCCATTATCTTAAACAGGAAGACATAGAAACAAAGGTTACCACTTGAGGCTGAGGGATGACAAACCTTAGTATCACACCAGCTGTATTTGATGTGAAAACCACCTGTCCAGTGTTCACAAGCAGTATGTATGAAGATGAAAAATACAGCTTAATAAATTCATGTGACGGAGATACAATCTGTATCCCTGATGGCCACCTAGGGAGTGAATCAGCCAAATGAAACCGATGCACCAATGAATTGCAATTTGTCTGTTATCAAAGAGAAGCTAACACTTACAACCCACCATAACTGATATGAAAGTAATGCAGATAATATGTTGCCAAACTTTAAGCCAACATCCAGAAGCAAAACACTTATTTTTTCCCCAAAGAAACAATGTACAGGGTAGTAGAACTCAAATGTCTGTTCAGTGTTGTGAGATGGCTTTAAGTGAGCTGGAGTGATCATGGAGATTTTAATATGAACAATGGACAGACTGTGTGTGCGATTTTTCACACCCAAACTGTCTATTAGAATTGCACAAAGCATAAACGTAATCTCAATTCAGATTTGCACATCTTCAAAGAGAAATCCAACTTTGAGTTCGGTGAGTCTATAATCCTCTATCTCAGAGGATTGTCCCTCTCAGGATTAACAAAGCAATGGCATCAGATTTGTTTGAATTCTGATTCCTACATGAAATGAGGACAACAGTTAGATTCTTCATTATAATTGTTCAGTAACAGACTTAAATATTTATATTCATCTGTTCAATTGATCGTCATAATTTGATTGTTCAGTTTTACTAAACACACATACTTGAGAAAACGTATTATTTATAATTTTAAAGTCTGTAAATTGAGATACCATGAATTGCTTCCTGAATTCTTGACATTGAAACTGTCATTTAATTTTTATTTCAGTTTATTGTTTGATTTTAAAGTAAACTTTGCTTAGTAAATCTTATAATAAATTTTTAGTGCAATGTTGATGTGTTTCCAATTGTAGAATATTTATTTGAAGCTGAAGTGATGTGGAGGAAAAATAGTACAGTACGGGTGTCATTGTTAAAGATAAAGATTACTCAGCGAATCTGTGGAGGTTTTGTGCTTGGTCTTCCATATTTTATGGTGTGGAGATGGTCGATAACTGAAATGTTTGAGGAAAATTTCAGGTCTGCCACCCTACTATGAGCATGGGAAATGGCATGTACAGTATAGGTAGATAGAGAGAATCATAGTTTGAATGGCCGCACAGTAATGTCTGTTTTATTTTTAGTCCCTAGATAGACAATTCAGCTCAGAATCAAGGAGGAGTAAGAGCTTCGAGGAACGGGAAGAGGAATACGAAAAAGTAAGGAAGCGAATATTCAGTCAGGAGGTAAGAATCTTAAACTAATGAAGAAGGAACTCTTGTTGGCAATCCAATCAGGTTTTACGTGTTTCCCAGCATTATCTGCCTCTCCAGCTTAATGAAATGAAGATATACTGAAGTTCAATACTTCTCCAGAGAGGAAGAGCCATTATTGGTAGCACAGGTTAGGGTCAAAACACCCTGGTTAGTGACAAGTTCACTACAGTCTGTGCTTCTTCAACATCTAAACTGAGCCAACATTGGTGACACTCAGTGTCCTAATCAGATTTATCCAATGTATTAGATGTTCCATGACATAGACACATTGTTGTTCATTACCTCACATCTGTTATATTTGCTGAAATACAGTATTGTATGAGTTAAAATTAATATCAGAGGCTCATGAAAATGAGATATAACTCAGTTATAATGAGCTTGACTGTAGCTGTTGGTCAAGAGACATTGGTGTCTGTTGAAGTATTCATAAGATATTATCAATTGATGAAAATATAGGGATTTGCTGGAAACTGAGCATTCTTTGCATATAAGATTTCCTTCAGGAAAATGAGGCTTAACTTAATTTTTTTAAAGGCTAGAATAATACATGATTCCAACCATATGAATGTACTGTAAAGTACTGTATCGAAATTTGTAGCATTCAAGATTTTGGTTTGAAACTTTAATTGTTTTCCCAACTTAACCTCATTTTCTTAACACCTTGCAAAATATATATACCTCTTTACTCATACACACCCTTGGTCATGAACTGTGGAAGAATAAGGGAATACTGTACTACTGTACTTGACTCAAATATATGGAATGTCCTAAATTTGAATAATTAACTTATAATAAGATTATCATCAAGATGAAAGCAACTAAAGTTGAATCTTGACTATGTGTCTCAATTTTGATTCTGCAACAAACAAGATTTTAAACTGAAAATTTTTAAAGGTATTTGTTTATAATGTTATGCTACAGGATGGTGTAAGTTCAAATATTCTTATGATTGTCTCAAATTTCGTAAACATTTTAGTTGGGAATTGACTGAAAGGAAAGCTCAACTCCATTTTGTCTACATTCACACTTTTGTACCACAAACTGTGTTCCAAGGCTTGATTAAGGCTACCTGTACTTAAAGCCAGCAGTATGTCTCAGGTCCCTATATTATTCAAATTAGGAATCATATTTGTTAAAATTGTTCCATTACTGCTGACCGACCTCATCATGGAAGACACCTGAAGGCCCTTTATAAATAGACTACAAACCATTCCTTACCTTACTCCCTGTCTTCCTTGCACTACTATCAAAATATATTCTTAATCCCTCTCCTTTCCCTTATTGTTTTGGTTATATGGTATCAGTTATTGACACTCAACTCACATTCATAGCATCTCTTTATCATTATTTACTTGATCATCAAAAATGTATGTCTAAAGCACCTCAACATTCTGTTTTCCTCTATCATGCACATCATTTTTTGGCCAAATCTTCATATCTACAGTACTTGGTTTACTTCATTAGTCCTCATTCCAGTTCTTTTCAGGGTGAGTAATTTCAATTGCCTTTATGTGCTATTATTTATATTTATTGTACTGTCACACTGAAATTCTGCTACTTAAGTTATTGCAAAGTCCATCTCTATCTCTTCCAGCAGTTTTGAAAAACACAGAGAATCACAATCCTCTCTCAGTATCTCCTTTTTTCCACACTCAAGCTGTCTATTAGAATTGCACAAAGCATACACGTAATCTCAATTTAGGTTTGCACATCTTCTAAGAGAAATCCTACTTTGAGGTTGGTGAGTCTATAATCCTCTATCTCAGAGGATTGTCCCTCTCAGTATTAACAAAGCAATGGCATCAGACTTGTTTGAATTCTGATTCCTACATGAAATGAGGATAACAGTCAGATGTTTAATTACCCCTTACCACACTTGGCCAATGAAAAATAATATAAAACTAATTTATATCCACCGTCCAAGGCAGTTTGTGCAGGATGCTGGCTTCAAGGGAGTAATTGTCTCAATAGCAATGAAACACCAATGAGGTTTTTAAATGGTAAAACTTTTGCTTCTACTCTCACTTTTCAAAGTGCCTATTGCAGTAGACTATTTTTAAGATTAGTTCCAGCCACTACTGTCAAGTTCCAGGCTCAGCCATCAATTGGGGTTTATAGATCAATCCTTCATTTATAAAAGAAATTAGTTCTTTCATGTAAAAATTAGCCTTTGATATTAATGTTTCATCATATACAGTATGTTGAATGATAAAAAAAATGGTCATTAAAGTTCTTTAATGTTTTTTTTTTGTTTTTTTAGTATAAAACCAAATTTATATTGGAGAAAGGGTTTTGCAACCACAAAAAAGTACCTGTTTCACAGATTGACAGGTAGGACTTTGAGTTCATGTGCTAACCTTCGCCTAGTAAAGGTGGTTCAATACAGTTATAACTTGCCTACTAAATTTAAAAGAAAAAAGTGGAGTTGTGATTGATAGTATAAGTAGGGGTGATAAAAATTACTAAAAATGGAGGTCTTCCTCAATGTATGATATGGTTGCATTCCTGAAAATCCAATCGTAAATCAAATTATTGGAAGTCAATTTAATTCATATTTTGTCATTGTTTACCATTGCAATTTGTAAGATATGTTCCTTAAAAAACTTCAACATGTAAAAGATCACACTTTGCAACTCAACTTAAATATTTACATACTTAAAAAATTAAATGCATTATACATACTGTCAGGATCAGTTTAATGAAAGCAAAACTGTAATTTGTTTAACATATTCATGGTTACTTCCAGGAAAACATAAATGACTACCATAGGGTACCCAAATTTTTTTATTATTTTATTTGTTGAAAGAGTTGGTTTGGGTGAGTAAATAATATAAAAATATCATATAAATGGTTTACTTACGTTAGAAATGACTAGCACTTGATGTCATCATTGAGGGTCGAGATTCCCTGAAGCACCTTATCACAGCTGGCCATCCACCACATTACCAGTTCTACCACCACCAGCACACCTTCCCACCACATTTGCCTCATATTTTGTGGTTTTCCTTCCAAATTACACTTATTTATTATGGTACTTGTAACACTGTTTGGATTATTATAATAGTAGTAATTACTGAACAATTGACTGCAAGCCATGTCAGCACAAGACCATATGTGTGTGCCGAATAAGGTCGAGTGGAGTTTATCGTATAAATATTACCTTTCCTTATAATATAATGTTTTAGAACGACTCCATGTTCTGCTGAATCATTCTGTATATCTGTGGTGTAACCTGGGAAGGGGACTTTGGTAGCCCATAGTGTTGTGTCTTCATAGCTTAACTGAAATGCTCATTAGATAATGTGTCGTATGCTGCTACATGTCATGTCGTATACTCAAGGCTAGTATATCCCATCATCGTCACCACTGTTGTGTCTTCACAGTTTACCTGAAATACACATTAGATAATGTGTTGTATGCTGCTACATGTCATGTCGTATACTCAAGGCTAGTACATCCCATCATCTTCGCCGGATGACGCAGGATAAAAAGAGACAATTTCTACCGTAATGCTGGACTGTATTTACGAGGTACCCGAGGAGGAGGCTCAGCTATAAGTGCTTAAACATAATACTTGAGATATAAATAAAGTGAAAACAAAAGAGAGCATCTGTCAGGTACTATAAATGCATTGACAAAGAAAACTTAAATCAGTAACTAATATGTATATAATACTTCCTTCCCCCTCACTCTAGAAATTTTGAGCTATGATTACCTTAGAGTAATACTGTATATGAAAATATAACATCTGAGCATACAAAAATAAAATAAACATCTCGGTATCTTAAATGAAAGAAAATATAGTTTTCCTTACAAATCTAATCTATTAGGAGCTAATCCCCTGGTTTTCCTATCAGGAAATACTCTGCGTGCAACTGGACTTTGGGGCAATGGCATTGTTGTTACATCTGTTGTGGGTAAAGTCTCCTTGGTTGCTGCTGACTTACTGCTGGGGTCAAGAATTTGTTCTGTATTGGTTTGATCTACAGAAGTATAAGGGTGATGTATTTTGTCTACCCAAGAAGGCTTCAACTGATCAGTGTGTCTTCTCATAACATTACCATTGACATTAACATCATTCCCAATTTCACGTGTAATTTCTCCTGGTACCCACTTGTCAGGTGTAGTGGAAAAGCGTACCATTACTGGAGGTGATTTTGCAATTGTTTCCACCCTTTGTTCTGTTGTTCACTAAGAAAATCAGGCAACATTAAGTCTAACATAGTCTTAATCTTTCTTCCCGTCAACAAAATTGAAAGCGACATACCTGTAGTTGCATGCGGAGTAGTCCGATAAGCCATGAGAAACTTACATGTGCAAGTAGGAACATTGGCAAAAGTGGCATTTCTACATTTCATATTATGTTTGAATGTTTGAACAAATCTCTCTGCTTCCCCATTTGTGGCAGGATGGTATGGTGCAGTAAACGTGTGTTGAATGCCATTTACATTCACAAAATTCTTGAATTCCTGGGAACAAAACTGAGGACCATTGTCAGATACTATACGCTGTGGTAAGCCATGTGTTGCAAAAATCTGCATCAATGCTTTAATTGTGGAGAGTGAAGTAGTTAATTGCATGGGAATTATCTCAGGCCATTTGCTATAAGCGTCAACCACAATCAAGTAAGAATATCCTAAGAATGGACGAGCATAGTCAATATGCAGTCACTGCCAAGCATATCTAGGGCATTCCCATGGATGTAATCGTACTGGTTTAGGATTATTCTGGTGAATGGCACAAGTTTCACACGTTTTAACATACATACAGTTCAATATCCTTATCAACACCTGGCCACCATATGTAAGTTCTAGCTATGGCCTTTGATCTGACAATGCCTTGGTGGTCAGCATGCAGCTCTGCAAGGACCTGTTCCCTAAGTTGCTTAAGAACAACAACTCTGAATCCATGCAATATACATTTTTGTTCTACACTAAGTTCTGGCCATACTGGCACATATGATTTACATT